GGCTGGTCTGGGACCAGCTGTGTGTGAAGTGCCCAAACGTAGCCAGGTGAAGACGCCTGTGGGCAATAAGATACCCTGCTGTGGAGCTGAGAAGTCTGTTAGCGGCATGCCTACAAAAAGACAGCCATAGAGGCTGTGCTTAATGCCACAGGAATTGATGAGATCAGCCAAATAGAATCCACAGAGTGAAAAGAGAACAAGGTCAAGGACAGAGTCAGGGTAGGGGATGGTTGGGGGTCGCTGAATTTCCCTGGGAAAGAAGAGCAGGCAGGAGACTGAGTGAGGGCTGTCAGGGGAGTGGGAGAACCAGGAGGAGGGGATCACAGAAGCCTGGAGGGGAGCGTTTCCCAGGGGAGCAGTGAGCGGCATCCAAGTGGCAAAAACTCAAGCACTAACGGGGAAAGCGGTCATTGGTTTTGGCAACTGGAAGGTTATTGATGACTTTGCAATGCGCGGTTTCTAGGAACGATACATCAAAGACGGATTACAGAAAGAGGAGGCTGGAGCTCAGGCAGCTGTGCGGGACCAGTCAGTGACGAAAGGCTACTTTTCAATGCACTTGCAAAGAAGGGAAGGAGAAGGCTAAGGACGTGGTAGCTGGAGAACAAAACCAAGTAGTAGGAGATTCTGTTGTTTCAAGTGGGAGAGACTTGAAGCACGTGCGTGTGAGTGGACTGGACACGGCGATCACCAAGACGCCCTCGAACCTTCTTGCCTACTGGTTCTAAGGACTACACTCAGAAAGGAGGGCAGTGGTCTCCCGCTACTGGAATATTCTCCGTACAAGAAACAGAAACTGGAAATGCCAAGCTATCTGACATGGTTGCTCGTCTTTCTGCCCACCTTCCTCCTCTCCTTCCCCCAAACCAGGCCATTCTGAGGAACTCTGAGCACAAACATCATTTTAGGAGAGTGTCCAGGATCCAAAGGTAGTCCGGCCACCCTACACTGGCACTCTAGATGCGCATTCTATCAGCCCTCTTCCAGTTCTAACAGACAAAAGCTCCTCTAACCCCAGTTCACCCAGGGTCTTTCCTGGTATTCATTCCAAGGTCCTGAAAGTGAGAGAACCCAGGACCTGAGCCAAATGTAAAGCAAAAAGGAAGAGAGAACAGGTGAGAGAAGGGAAGAGGAAAGAATCCATGCAGGACACCTCCCCCTCTCTCCCAGGAGACCTCTACAGCAGATCTAATAGTAGCTATCTCTGTAGCTTTGCCCCTCCTGTGCAGTTTAATGTTCTCAAGGGAATACCAAGTTGAACATGAACAACAGAAGACTTAAGCACTCAATCTATTTTAATCCTTTAGCAACACATTTCTGAAATAATTTTTAGAAGGCGTTTTTGACTTTCAGGAGGAAGAATCTTATCTTCAGTGAATTACTATTTATTGAGGCTTTAATAAATGTTTGTGGTTTTTTATTTTATTTTATTTTATTTTGCTGGCAGGCTGCTTTCTGTAGCCCATTACAGTGAAGATTATCTTGGGGAGAAGAAAAGCACTAAGTCTGGTTTTCAGTCTGGGTAAAGAAGTGTTAGCAACACACGTAGAAACTTCCACATGATCAGTTTTAATCTCACCCGCTGAGGTGGGTTTTGCGACTTAATGATATATTTTGGAAATGGATGTGACACCAAAGATCATCCATAAATAGAGCTTAGAGTGAAAGGAATGAAAATCACAAATTAGATTCACTTGCTGTGCTAGATAGGGACGTTTCCTGTCCTCATCCGATTTGCGACAGAGAATCAAGCAATGGTCCTGGGCCCTGCCTTCTCGGGAGGGGTTCTGGGGGAGGTTCAGTCAGTTTTGTGTTTGCTTGTTTTCTCTGTCCAGTCATGTGAAGAGAGCTGGCTGGGAGGGTTTTTTTTCCTCTATTATTGTTGTCTATGACACAATCACTACATTATACTGGGGCCTTTTGAAAAGCCGGTGTTTGGCTCAATTGCCCATTACCATTGTGCTTGATTAGAACACGGTGTAGCCTTAGGGAAGCCCAGGATCCACTACAGTGTCATGGGAGAGGGGTTGCTGTCTTCAGAATTTTCAGAGACTATGCCAAAACCTGCACAGGCAATACAGAATGTCCAGGGGCCTTTGTGCTATTTTCGTGCAAAGAATTAACCTTGATTCTTTTGAAACTCATGTATGGTGATTATAACCTGGGACATAATGACCTGGGAAGATTGTCTTCCTTTATGTTTTGGACCCTGTATTAAAGAAGGAGGATGCTAGACCCAAATGGAACTCCTACCAGTCCAGAATCTTAATGTCATGAACACAGGCCTCCACGTCAAAATGTCTAGATTTAAATCTTGCCAGTGACAATGGCCAGCTGGGTGAGAGAACCTTCCTAACCCAGTTTACCTGCCCATATAATGGGAGACGGGAGGGCACACAGGTAATACCTCACAGTAATCTCACACTGTGGCAAGAGGGATGCTATAAAGTACTGCAAATGCATTTTCACTTACAAACATTTGTCAAGTGCCTACCACGTACCAGGCACTGTTCTAGACACGTGCAATACAGCAGTGAGCTCAACTGGCAAAGCAAGCACATTCATGCAAAGTGCCCAGTGCAATGCTGATCACTGACAGGACCAACAGACAGGTCTGAGGTCTCTTGTTAGGTTGATACTTTGCTTCTAGAAAGTTGTGCCTAAATCCATTATCTAATTCTAAAATTATTAGACTCGACTAACAAAATTTATGGAATCAGAACAACTATACAACTAAAGTAAGATTGCAATGCCTTGTAGGGGCCTCTAACCCTTTCTTCCTCCTCTGGGATTGACAATAGCCAGAAACTACAGCCATCTGTTGAAGGATGAGTTGGACCATGGGGCATAGAAAAGGGAGTTCAGCATGTCGAGTAAAAATAATTGAGGCATCATCAAAGAAGGTAGGAGCTGGCCTTAACATCTACTCACAGACAACATGGAAATCGGGCTGTGACTCATGTTCCTCAATCCTACTGAGTCGGTCACAACGTGTGGGATTGTCCCCATCGTGTTACATATAACATACATCTTATTTATGTACCAAATGCTGTACTAGATTTGAAGGATACAACAATCATATAAGCAGAGTTCCCCACCCTTGACAGGTCTAGAATAGCGATCGATCGCCAAATGTTCTCTGTGGAAGGCCAAGGGGTAGACACTCGAGGCTCTGTGAGCCACACAGTCTCTGTCTCAAGTACTCAACTCTGTAACTCTGTCCTTGTAGTAGAGGGAAAAAAAGAACAGCCATAGATAATATGTAAATGATTGCACATGGCTGTCTTCCAATAGAACTTTCTTTACAAAACAGGTGGCAGCCCAGATTTAGCCCATGGGCTATAGTTTGCCAACCCTTGGTCTGAAGAGGAAGACAGATAAGAAACTAGATAATGCCAACCAAACGCGAAAGATGCTAGGAACGGGATAAGCAGGGGAAGGGTACTGCTATTACCTGAATATTTGTGTCCCCCAAACCCATATGCTGAACCTAATCACCAAGACAATAGGAGTAAGAGGTGGGGCCTTCAGGAGCTGATTAGCTCATAAAGGTGCTGCCCTCATGAAGAGAATTACTGCCTTTATGAAAGGGGCCTCCTGCTCCTTCTGTCAGGTGAAAGAAGAGGCCATGGAGGGAGCAGAGAAAGTCTTAACTGAACCCCAAGTCTGCCAGTGCTTTGATCTTTGACTTCTCAGACTCCGGAACTGTGAACAACACATTTCTGTCATTTATAAATTATTTAGCCTGAATTATTCAGTTGCAGTAGCAGAAATGGACTAAGATAGATACCTAACTAGTCTGAGTGTTTCAGGTAAGTCTTCCTACTTCGGAGCTTGCATCTGCATCTGAGGGTAGGTGTTTCTCATTTTTCCCCCTTTTTTGAAAGAGCAGACCATCTAAGAACCACCACTTTCTAGTTCAAGAGGCTATTGCCAGGGGAGAGAAAACAAAGACCTGAACTGGAGCAATAATTTTAGGAATGGAGTGGAGGGAACAATTTGAGAACTATTTAACAGGTAAAATGGACAGGTCGTGGTGATAGTATGGGGAAGGAACAAAATAGTGGACGTTAATGTAATTACCATGTTTCTGACTAGGGTGGTGGGAAAATTATTCAAGATATTCTGTATTCAAGATAAGGAAAACAGAAGGAGCATGATTTTGTGGTAAGAGGGCAAGACTTTATTTCCTTGTAAGAAACTAAAATGGGAGAGTGCAACAGATAGTTGGATATACCTGAGTCCTGAGCTCTCCTGAACTATGATTTTTAAAATAATTTTATTTACTATCATTATTCTTCAATTTGGCCAGAGAGAGAGAGAGAGAAGGCCTAGGACTAGGACTCAAACCACAGTTGACCATATGGGAATCCAGTGCCTCAACCATCATGCCACTTGCTGGCCCCTCCCCTGAACTATTAATAGACTTCTAACTGGCCTCCCTGTTCCTTCTTGGCCCCCTTCACTCAGCTCTACTGCGTTCTATCTAAAATGTCAATGAGACCATATTATCCTAGATAAGAATTGTTCAGTTACTCTCCATGCTCTGTGGATAAAGTTTTGATGCTTTAGCTTGATATGGGAGGTTCTGCAGAACTCATCCCTGCTGACCTCTCCAGGCTCATCTCTTTCTACTGCCAGCTTCCCATGAGCTCCTCCCTGGGAAGGTGGAGCCCAGCCCCAGCTGGAGTCCTGATAATCTGATACAAATAAGGAGTGCTAAGTCAGAGTCCCTGGGGATTGGCCCTTTTACCATGGGTAAAAATATTCGAAATACCAGGGCCAGCAAGTGGTATGGTGGCTAAGGTGCTAGACTTCCACATGGCCAACCATAGTTCAAGTTCCAGACCTGGCAGCTTGCTTTCTCACTCTTTTTCTCTCTGGTAAGAACGTGTGCTCTATAGCAATTAAAACAATAACAATAAAATTAAGTAAATCTTAAAAAAAAAAATAGTAATGTCTATCCTCAGTGGCAGGAACAGGATCTCACCTTCAGCCCAGGAATCCTCAGCAAGACTATAAATCTCAAGCCGGCAGGTCTCCAAACCAGTTACCACAGGGCACCTAGACAACATGCCCTGAATCTTCAACTCTCTAGAATTTGCAACAGAAAGAAGAACACTAACAGGAGCAAGGCCTCCCCTGCATTCTGTTCTCCCATTAGCCATGCCTGGTGAGCTCCAGGCACAGGGGAAATAAAAACGAGCTCCTCCTCCCATCAACTCTAGGGACCCCATTAAACACAAACTGCCTAGCACTCACTTCACTGAGCCTGAAAAAGGAACAGGATCGATTTTCCTCAGCTGGGGAGCAAAAGCTGGCAGTTTTGTGCTCAAGTTTAGACCCATCAGACATCTCTTCAGAAGAGGATTCGCTCTTCGCGAGGCTCTTGGTATTCATAACTGATGTTTAGGTTGTCAAATCGGTGGTGAGGGGAGAGGCATCCTCCTCAAAGATTATAGGTCAAAGAAGCAAAAAGGAAAGTTTCTGAGCAGCATTACAGAAAGGATGATCACTGACAAGAGGCTTGTTCTAGTTGAGCAGACACACCATTGCAGGGGAAAAAAAGCTTCCAGGTGCCTGTGGAATGTTTCAGCCTTTATTTTGCACGCAGGGAGGATTTACCTGCTTACCTGGTGCATTGATTTACCAGCGGTATATGAGAAAGGGTGATTTCAGACCATCTTTCATGGTTCAATAAACTGCAAATCTTTCTCTTGTGGAGTAATGATTCCAAAGAACCTTTGCCTTTCCCACTTGTTCAACATTAAATGACGTTTAGTAATGAGAATGGTGCCCCCCAGGATGAAAGCCGTCAGCTTTGCACAGCCCTAGCACCTGGCTGACTCTTCCCCAAGGTGTCTTTGATCCAGCCTTGAAAGGCACCACACGCCCACAAGTCCAGACCCAGGAGAAATCAGTCTGAATCAAAACATCCGCTTCACCTTAATTCTCAGGCTCAGTTTTGCCCCTTTACAGACAGCTGTGACCGGCTACCTCCAAACACTGTTGTCCGAAGCACTGTAGGACGTTTGGTGAGGCTTGATTCTTTGCATAAACAAGGATTTTAGAATTCATATCCGCAGATTTTTTTCTTCTTAAGGGAGCTAATAAATATTTTTAAGTGTCTGCCAATTGCCAAAACAAATACGTATCAAGTTTGATTATGGCTTCTACTGCACTGTGGGTAGCTAACAATTTTAAGGTCAGTGACAGGAAATGGAATTAGACACACAGGTCATTTGCCTGCACACCTAATCCAAATCCTGTTCTGCTCCCTGAATAAATTCCTTCTCGCTTACTTCTTCAGCTGCCTTCTCCCGAGCTCTAGTGAATGTGTGCAAAACCCCAGACAGCGGAGGAGGAGTTTAGCTGCAGTGCACTGTTAGTGCCATTGCCTGGATCATTAATTATGGTTGATAGTGAAAACATGGGCTTGGACAATTGGTAAAATGTCATTATTTACCATCTGTTGTAGGCTCTCACGTGTAATTACTTAACAGTGGAAGTAATCATATAGTAAAGGTAGCGACAGCAGGCATGTGCATGACAGACATTCCCAGAATGGAGATTTCATCCTCATAATAGTTAACCTTTTCCTTCCTTCCTTCCTTCCTTCCTTCCTTCCTTCCTTCCTTCCCTCTCCTCCTCTTCCTCTTCTTCCATATAGCTAAAGTGCACTAATTATCATGTGTTCAAGCTCCCTCTTGGGCGAAACTTTCTCTCATTCTGTGGATTTCCTCCTCTAGGCTGCCCTAGCAATGCATCCTAGCTATCTCTTTTCAAGTGTGTGTCATATTAAAGCAAAAGAATTGATCCTTTCATTCCTTCCTTCCTTCCTTCCTTCCTTCCTTCCTTCCTTCCTTCCCTCCCTCTCCTCCTCTTCCTCTTCTTCCATATAGCTAAAGTGCACTAATTATCATGTGTTCAAGCTCCCTCTTGGGCGAAACTTTCTCTCATTCTGTGGATTTCCTCCTCTAGGCTGCCCTAGCAATGCATCCTAGCTATCTCTTTTCAAGTGTGTGTCATATTAAAGCAAAAGAATTGATCTCTGTGTCATGATCAGGTTCCTGCCCACCTATTTACATATCTACTTCCTAACTGGGCTATGAGTTCCTGATGCCCACCATTTAATAGCCATACGATAATTATTCTGAATAAAGATAGGCATGAATTTCCCTGTCCAAGTCAAACTATGTAAAACTCCAATAATTCACCAACACAAAATATTTAAGACCATCATCGGGGTGATGGGAAAATTCGTAAGTGTTTCCAAAGGGCAGGAACTCTGTCCTTGGCTCTTCAGGAACTGGAGCACTAGGGTACAATTTCCATTGGTGTTTAAGCTCTTCACTGTAAATAAAAGGCCAAGATTTATGGTTCCAGACTAGTTCTGGGACTACTGCAAGCGGGCTTTCTGACAAACCTCATTTTTCTCTCATTCATATTATAAGGGGATGGGTATATAGGGAAAAGGGCCCATTCACTCAGTATTTCTCGAGTACCTATTACATGCCACATATTGTAAAAGCTGTTGTAAAGCCTGTTTTCAATGGTTCAATCTCCTAGACAAACATCTTTAAAAATTATATGTAGATAATATAGTAGTCTAACTTTGAACCTGACACAGGTAGAATGTATCAGGAAAAAGCACAGAGAAGCAGAGCAATCCTGATTAACTGTTAACTAAGCAAGCAGAACCACAAAATGAATTGCAGGGCAGCCAGGCTGAACTTGGGAGGCTGAGGCTGGAATCATGGATCATTGGACTGTGCAATGAGCAGGTCAAGGTTGTCAGGAATTACCATGCACGAGACCAGACTGTAGAGAGACGCTGTTTCAGGGCAAGTTTCCTGGACTCCCACAGGAAGACAGCACAGCTGTGTTGGGTGTACAATAAGGCCTTCCATGGCCCATGGCCACTAAGGACCAGTGAGAGAAGGCTGCCAGGAGGGTGAGGCTTGCAGGGCATCTTGAACCTCCTGAGCCATTTGGTCCTCCATCTCATTTCTTTTTTACCCCTCCTCCCTTAGAAAGGTGCTTGTGATAAGCACCGGTGCCCCAAACCATAGCCTGAGTATTCAATCTCTCCAGTTTTCCTAAGGAATCAAGTCAGGAAAAGCACTGCAATTTACAACCCCTATCTTGTGGTACTGCCAAGCCTTTCTTCAAAAGGCTGTTTTATATTCCCTCTTGAGTTTAACATGCTATGTTTTCCTTTGCATATTAAAAGATGAAATCGAGGTGATGGACACATTCCCTTAGTACCAGAGTCAGCTGCCAAGTTTCTCTGGCTGACTTTATCTCCTCCTACAACACTTCATTGCCAGGATGGTCTTCAGAGAGAGAATGTAAGAGCGGACATATGTTTCCCTCACGCTTTCCTCTTTTAGTGAATTACCTGGGAAGTGACCAGGAAAGAAGTGAAATTCACACACAGGTGAATCCAAAGATGTTGATACTGTACTAAACAGAGAGATCAAATTGTGTTTTATATTTAACTGCAGCAGGAGACTTTATGCTTAATAGGTTTTTTAATATAGTTTGACCTAGTACTGTCAAGAGAAAAACTACATTTTGTTCCTGTCTTGCATTCAGGACATGATTTCTGCAGATAAATAATTTGCAATGCCGTTTCTATTACTAAGACAGTGTTTCACACATCTGTTTTATGTTTCATTAATGGTACGACAAATGAAACCATCAACCATCCTGCTTCTTTATATTAATTCAACGTATAAGAAAAATGTGTGATGACTCCAGACAGTAAGGCCGATTACTGTGTCAGGGAAATCTACTCGTTTACTTATGGATCTGCAAAGGCTGCCAAAGCACAAATCACCATGCTGGCAAATGGCGATCCAATATTCTGTTTAAATCAAGAACGAGCGCCATGGTCTAACCCACAGCAGAGCAGTTTAGAACCTATTAAGTACTAATTTAACTTAATCTCCAGTACCAAACTGATGGTGAATATGTCAACTGAAATGGGAATTAGCAGTGGGAGTGAAGCATTAGAAATAAGGTGGTTGATGGGACTTCTCAACCTTCTTAAAAAGAGTGATCTTGAATTGGGCCAAAGAGACTTTCATAGTGAAGGTTATGAGAGGAGCACTTAATTTACATTTCTCATATCAGTATTATAAAAGACCTAGATGAATGGGGAGTTCAATCAATTCGAGTTATAAAAGAAGGCAAGTGTTAGCTGGACAGTGGTGCAGCAGTAAAACCCAATGTTCCACAAACATAAAAAATGTGACCCACCTGGTTAGTTTCTAGTTTGTATCTAGAGACATCACTGAGTATGCTGGGGCTGGTTGGAGCTGAAGCTGGAAGTGGATCATGGCTTTGGGACCTTGTTGGGGTTGCTATATATCTCTATCTCTTTATCTCTCATCAAACGAATGGATTTTCAAAAAAACTTTTAAACAGTCAAGGGTTGAGCCAAGCACTTAATTCTGAATTTAGGACAAGCTTGACTCACTAGTATTCCAAAATGGCAGTGATGCCTCTGAAGTACTCTGTAAATCATTTTCTTGCATACATGTTCCAATAGTAGGAATGTATGTGTACTAGGAAGGTCATGTCCTTTCATTGGCTTTCCCTTCTAATCAAGGCACACACTGGTGGAGGAATTGACTAGAACTATGAAATTGGTGTGATCTGATTTGGTTTTAAGAGACATAGTTCCACAGAGACTATCTCAAGCCCACCCACTTCACTGGTTCCTTTTGCTTCAGTTCTCTTGAATAGTGCTTTTCATGGAGCTTATTGCTGATCTCGAAAACCCTGAATGTCTGTCTCTCTGTGGTATTTACCACCCACTGACATCTTCCCTACTTTTATCTTGGAATATTTTGTAAGGTCCTTTTATGATCAGGGTACAGAAAAAAAGCCAGACTCAGAAATTTTACCTTCTTTACATTTGCAATGTGGAAACTACATGATCATTACATATAACGTGATAGTAAGGGATGTTGAAAGGGATGTGTATGGATTTGAGTGGTGACACTGGTGGTGAGTTATCAGGAGAACCGTAATCTAGGTGGGGTTTTAAGAGGTGACTTGCCAGAACCATGCATCACAGTGTATCAAGGAACACGAATGGGCATCTAATCTAAACTGTCCTGTGTTTTGTGAATTGTGATTAGAAGGGTTTTTAAAAATGAGAGTTGGCCATATGAAAAATATAAAGAATGGTGGGTATCCAAAGGTTAAAATCATAGCATCAGGGAAGCATGGAGTGAGACAGGGCAGTCTCCCCATCCTAACTGGAGTCTAAAGTTCAGACAGGAAGTAATGGAGTCACCCGAAGTGCCCATCAACAGGTTATAGTTAAGAAAAAGTGGTGCATGTGCACAAATGGAATACTAGTCAGCCTTAGAAATGGAAGACATTTCATCTAAGTTGTCATTTGCAACAACTTGGATAAAATCGGAAAACATTATGCTAAGTAAAGTAAGACAAATTGTGCATGCTCTCCCTTTTTTAGAATTTGTGAGAGGGTGCATGTTCTCAGCAGAGAGAGAGTAAGTGAAAAAGTGAGAACACACCCCTCCCTTTGGGCATAGACACCTCCTCCTCCATTTATTCTTCCTTTTGGGATTTTGGGCAGGCAGGCACACATGTCTGGCATGGTTCTCAAGCTGCTAGATCTGTGACTAGAATTGCACTGTCAGCCATATGGAGTCCAGCCTCCTTAAGCACTAGGCCCTGTGCTGGCCCACATGTTCTTCCTTACATGTGAAAACTAAAACAATTGATCTCATAGCAGCGGAGAGTGAAATGGTAGTTACCAGGGGCTACGTGCTGGCAAGAATGGGGAAATGATCATCGAAGAGCATAAAGCTTAGTGAGATAGCAGGAATAAGTTTGAATATTTTTTTTTGAAATCTATTGCACAGCCTAATGAAGAAAGGTAATAATTAAGTATTGTACATTTATTTCAATATTGCTAAGAGAATAAAACTCAGATATCCTCATCACAAAAAAGTATAAAATATTTGAGGTGATCAGTAGATTAATTAGCTTGATTTAATCATTTCACATTGTATTAAACAATCATAACATTACTTTGTACCCCATAAATATATACAACTATAATTTGTCAATGTATAATAATTTTCTGCCCAAGATAAAGATATCATGAATGCTTTTTATATGAGTAGTGCGCTCTTACGGATTTAATGAAATTGTAACACAAGAAAGGGGAAGAAAGAAAGAGTGAAAGAAAGAAAGAAAGAAAGGAGGGAGGAAAGTAAAGAGGGAGGAAAGAAAGAAAGGAAGGGAAGAAAGGGGAGGGAAGGAAGGGGAAGAGGAAGGATAGGAGCAAGAAGAAGGGAAGGATTTCAGGCAGGAAACAGCAAACATTGGGCCTAAAGGGGAAGTAGGAGTGGGTTCACAAAACAACTTTCATACCATAGAAAAGGAAGCTCTACCTTCTTCAACAGGTGATGAGAAATAGTAATGGGTTATGCAGGGGGATGTCAAGGACAAGGGTGATTTCACTACATGAAAGACAATTTGGAGAACAGGCCAGAAGGCAGCGAGAGCAATTGGAAAGGCATCTTCAGTTGTCTGGGTAGGGGATCATGAGGGTCTGAACTGGGACTGTGTGGTTGGGATAGAGAACAGAAAATCATGAATTATTGAGGAGAATTGGGGTCCCCAACAGGCTTGGAGAAAAGGTACTTGGCACGGGCCATGGACATTGGCACTCCCTTCTGTAACAGGTCACTGAGAAGAAGAGCTGAGATCGCAGGGACTACGCGAGCCAAGGCCCAGGTCAGACCAGCACGTAGCTCAGAGACCACACACCCTACTCTCACTGCAGATGTCCTGGGCAAAGAGGGATCACTCTGTGGCAGTTCAGACCTGAATTTTCCAGAGACAAAACGGACCTGACCACCGTGGTCATTCAATTAAACATTTAGTGGCACAGGCTGTGTCCAGCACTATGCCATGAGGTATTATGGGGTGGGGTGGGGTGGAGGGGATGATACAAGGAAGACTCAGATATGGATCCATCCTCAAGGATAATACAGTCTAGTAGGAAAGCCCAGGTAGGCATGGAAATAATCATAAAACAATGTTCAGGTCCACCAGAGAGATTGAGAGATACGTTCTAACTCTTCCAAGGAAGGCTCGGTGGGTTTCTTCTGTGGATATCTCAAAGTCCAGTGGAGAAGATGGCATGAGTTGGACCTTGATGAGTATGGAGAAATGGCCATCCCAGCAGGAAAAAATGTCTACAAAAGCCTCAGAGACAGAAGGTCTCAGGGAACATTGAACAGATTGGCTTATTTATTGTGAAGGGCAGGGAAGGGTGTTGAGGGGAACGAGGCTGAACAGTGGGCCCAAAGGATTGGAAAAGTCAGCCTGCAAATTTGGACTTAATTTTTGCCAGCTGCAATAAGTCAGTGGGCCATTTGAGTAAGGATATTTTCAGGAAAAATAGTGAAGAAGCTGGGTTTTGCTCAGGACTTAGCCCTAACCCGTGAGAAATGCCCCCCTCCTTAATTTTTCCCTGCAGCTGTAAATGCCAATACGCCTTTTAAGCATACAGAAACCCCTTCTGCCCTGAATATAGTGAGCTATTGACTGATTTAAGTTTCTCCTTTTTTTCTTTCACAGAAATGCCTTTTGTGCCTAGCTGATAAGTCTGAAAGGACACAGGCTGAGCGGATGCCATGGCCAAGCCGTATCTGGAGAGGTAGAACATTTGTGAAAATTAAAGTATGCTAATAAATTTTACAGGCTGTTGTGTGTCTAGCACAATGAAATATACGCCTCATTCATAAGGTTCAGAGAAATACAATAAAAGTCCCCAGGGACAATTTGCGATACGATATCTTCTGATCTCAGAATGCACTTGTCAGTCTTAAAATAGAACACCTTGAAGGTCACAGTCATCCTATGAGAAAGGGCAAAGGGAAAGGGACATGGCACAGGGATGCCAAATACCTGAGGACCATGCTTCAGCTATCACTGGGATGAGAGGTCACCAGCAGGATCAGGCCCTGGATCTTGAAACAGATGTGAGGAAGCGCAGAACAACTACTCCTCCAAGGTCGAGTAAGAGAAAAGGTGATACTTTTCTCCTTAGGGGTCTGTTTTCATTTACTGGATGGTGGTGGCCTTCCCCCAGCATTTAGACCTCCTTGTCTCTGATAGGTTAATTAAGCCTCTGTTCATTCTTCAAAACCCTTGTATTTCTTCTCCTTTCTCTCTAGTCAGTCTCCATGCTTAGGAGTTTGGTTCAAGGCCTCTCTGGTCTGTAGATACAAAGGACGTCCCTTTAACCCTCATAGTCAAAGACCCCCTGTTCATACAGGTTCCTAGCCCCTGAGAAATTTTCCAAGTATGTCAAAGAATTGCCATGGGGCATGAACTCATGACCCTCTTCATCACCTTCTGTCACCTGCCACTCAAAGCTTAGCCCAATGTGTGCTGCATATAAAGTAGGAAGTCACACCCTTGCAAGCGCTGACTGGACTTTTCCTTAGAATTAAAGTGTTCAGGCCAAGAATGCTGCCTTTAAATGATGGCCAGACTTCCAGGCATCAAGGTCTTGGAGAGATGCTAGGTAGCATGTCAAAGTGGAAAACAGCTCTCCCTGTCTCCATGTCTTCCTTTTCCCACTGGGCCTGAAATAGCATTGCTTATGTCCAAAGCACAACTTCCCTTCAGCGTCTCTCTTATCAAGGAGTAGGATGGAGGCTTGGTATTATCCTATCCCATCCTCTGCACTGCACGCATGTCAACTATCTCCCTATCTTGCATTCTAGTTTAAAAAATATTAAACATCTGGGGCCAGCATGTGGCATGGTGGTTAAGGCACTCACTAGACTCCCACATGGGCAACTGCAGTTCTACTCCAAGAACCAACAGCTTGAGAATCACACCAGGTGCATGTGCATGTGTGCCCAAAATCCCAAGAGGAGAATGAAGGAGAAAGATTTGCAGCATGACCATTCCCCCTTGTGGGGGGTAATTTCTCACTTTCTCTCTATCTGATGAGGACATGCACCCTATGGCCAAAACCTAAACAATAAAAAATATCAAACATCAAAAACATAAAAAGTTAAAACAGAAGTTACAATATACTCATACACCATCTTCTACTGAAGCACAAATGAATGTTCTTGTACTTATCAGCTCATGCGGATCACTGAGAACCACAGCCTTCCAGCTCCACAAATGGCTTACTCCAAGTTCTATGTGGGCCTCATCTAGCTCCCCTGCCACACGTTAAACAGACTCCCCCCCACCCCCTTGTCATAATGCTGGGTTTATGTAGTTATCTATAGCCTAAAACTAGTTTTCACAATTGGCACTCCTCTGGTGTCAACTGTTGAAATCTGTTTGCCAAAACACTGCCTCATGCAAGGCTCCAATTTGTTACTGAATTGCTGCTCTTTGTCGTGAAAGGACAGTTTACCATTTTGGGCCAAGAAGTAGGTTTTTAAGTGTTTAGATAGTGATTTGTAGAATAGCATCTTAAAATGACTTTGGCAAATAGCTGTCAGGACAATATTTGCCTCCTGTAGAATGAAGCATTGGAACAAGCGTGAGATTTGGTGTCAGATAGACACAGGTTTGAATGCCTAACTCTATCATTTACTGTCTGTGAGGATTTAACCCCTCTGAGTCTTAGTTGTAAAATACAGCCAATAAAATAGAGTCAGGAGGATTAAGTTAGATGATGGAAAGCTTTGAGTTAGAGGAAAGGGACTTAATTAATAATGGCTACCATTTCTTCTATTATTACTAGGGTAAATTGCATTGCCTAAGGTTACAGAAAAAAAGCATTTGTAAACATCTGGGATAAACCAGGAATGGTGTATGCGTTATGCTTGCACACCGCCTCTCTCTATGTCCACATAGAGCAAACACCACTAATCAATAATCATACTCTTTC